GGTTGGTTGGTTGGTTGGTTGGTTGGTTGGTTGGTTGGTTGGTTGGTTGGTTTGTTTTTGAGACAAGGTCTCATTCACTACATTTGCCTGGGTGGCCTAGAACTCATACATAGACCAGGCTGGTTTTAAACTCTGCCTGCCTTCTGAGTGCTGGGATTAGAGACATATGGCACCACGCCTGCCTGATTTTGATAGTTATTAAAACCTTAAAGTTGGGTAGAGAGGGTCAGGGAAAGATTCTGGAATGACTTGAGGAGAAAAATAATATGATCAAAATATATTTAAATTTTTTAAAATAAAAATGAATATAATAAATTATTAGACACTAAAAATAATAAAACTTTTAAAAATAAAAAAACCACATTTCTAGCCATGTATTGTGTCACACAGCACCATTTGGAGACTGAGGCAAGAAAATTAGTTCAGAGTTAACCTGAGCTCTGTGACTCTCTGTCTTAAAAAAAGCAAAAGACAAAAAAAAACCAGAAAGCCTTTTCTAAGATTGATAGCCTTTCTCATATAGTGCCATGTAATAATGACATAAAGGTATATTCTTGTGTGTCCCCTTATCTCCATGTAGTAAGAGTTATAAGATTTTGATTATGCTTCTAAGATACAATTATAGCGATGATAAAACTATTAACACATCTAAAAATACAAATGTTTTATCACAGGTTCAGCTAAATATTTTAAGGAATAGCTAAAGTTATTCCTTAAAATAATCCCTATCTGAGTGTTTTCGATGAGCAAGCTAGCTGATCACTGGAGATACTATATGAATTTTTTCCGTTGTGTTCAGTATCTTAGTTTTGGTTCTTAGGAAATAGGGTCTCTCTATGTAGCCCTGGCTGTCCTGGAGCTCACTTTGTAGAATATGCTGGCCTTGAACTTTGTCTCTGCTATTATTAAAGGCATGTGCCACCAAGCCCAGCTTCTGTATCCTTTTCTAAAATATTTGTTTTGTGTATAAGGTTTATGGCTTTTCAATACCACAGTACAGGCAGCAAGAGCAGGTGATTTGCTTCTAGGATAGAGAGACAAGCACTGGACCAGACAGAGAGGCTTAGAGTAGTCGGAGATCTTCCGATCTGGTGCCTCAACAAATGGCAAGAAGACAGGGTGGAAGTGGCAGCTGCTGCCGAGAGTAAATGCGTATGCATCGACACACAGAGTTGAAGCAGAGCTTCTGTCTACTGTATGGTTTCTGCTCACAAGCCCCTCAGCAGGAAAGAAAAGCTTCGTTGTGTTAGTCTGCAATTTTGATTCAGTGAATAGCTATTGAGGAGTAGAAAGTACCCTTGTGAACATGAGGCTGAGAGTAAAACAGTTTTAACTAATGTAATTAAAACACAAAATGAGATTTTTTTTTTTATGCCATGTGAAATGCTAGCTGCAGTGCTGTGTGAAACCTCTTGCCATGATCTTTCTTCTCCTGCTTTCTCTCTGTACTCATTCTGTGTCTGAGCGAATGGAGACTGGGGGAGTAGTGAAGTCCCAGAGGGACAGAGCTCTGTTCTTGCTGAAATTACAAGCACAGAGCTGCCTGGGCATGAACATGTAGTGTTTACTCTGCCAGTATGAATACAAATAGTCTTATTATACGGAACTCTGTACCCAAAGACGACCACACACACACACACACACACAGGAACAAAAAAAAAATTAAAGATTTTTTTTAACCCCTTTAAGACCTAACAAACCTTAGAATAAAAGGAGCGGCTACTGTGGTAAGTGGCAGTATACAGTGGTGACCATGAGTTTTCCTTCACCCAGTGGCTTTGAAATCAGAATGCAAATGTGAAGATAGCCATTGCTCTGTATCACCTTTTCCATTATTCTATCTTCCTTTTCTTAGTTACGTTTTCTTTTTTTCTCTTTTCCTTTTTTTCAGATGACTGACTAGGATTGAGCCTGCATGTTAGCTTGCTGTTTCTGAACCTGAGAGTTCAGGAAGAGTGAGGCTGCTGTTCTTTTGTGAACAGTCAATAACTGATGCCCAGGGTGGCTGGTGAGGTCAATGACCTTAGCCAGATTATAGGACATGGCATGACAGGAATGGGGTTAAGGTATTAGAATCAAGCTCTGTTACCAGTAGTAGGACACAATGGAGTGTGTCCTTCAAGAGACTAGTCTAAGGATGGAGTTTTAGCATTTGACTCTGAGGGACAGCTGTATGTAAAAGATGACGAGGTGTCACTAAGATCTATCTCTGCTGAGCCCACTTTTATCAGGGAACATTGACTTTCCACTACTGCAGTTTAATTTTCTTTGGTCAAAGAGACAAGTTTGTCATGAACCTAGCACTCTACATATTACCTGAGGAATGATAGGAGAGAACAAGGAGGGCTCCTTCTCATGGGAGTTGGGGCAAATCTGTCCTTTGCCAAAGAGAATGGGCATCAGGACAGAGCCGTAAGGAATAGTTCTATTTAAGAAGGAATAAAAAATTGACCTGTTAATGTTCTGAAAGCCAAGGCTCAATGTAAATGCACTGATGCTACGTAGACATTAAATCATCATAATGTAATGTTCTCCAGAGTGACGGCTCTACCAGGTCATCATTGTGGGTGACAGTGAATTACCTTGAAGTATTGGAGTTTCTGGGTTTAAAAGTCAGCACATGGATGTAAGAATTGAAGGTAAAACAAGAGACTCTTGCATAGTTTTTCCATGAATTGAGATGTTTCTCCCTATAGCCAGAGGCAAAAATTGTGCACTTACTAGACCATCGTGTCCTGGTTGGCCAGCCTGTCTTCCCCTCTTTCTTCCTAGGATGGTAAGTAGGTGAAAGGTGATAGGACCAGAACTTGGACCAATTCAGTTCCATTTAGTTTTAGGTAACCTGTCTGCTGCTTGAGGAAGATATTGGCTATTTCAGCAGAAATGTGACCTGCATTCTGAACACTTGTGCCTGTGCTAAGAACACAAGAAATAGCTTTTCTGGCTCTGTGTTAGCTTACTCCTTCCTGTTTTCCTGCTGTCCCTTCCCCCATCAAGAAAGATGTAACTAAAGAAGTACCACCTAATTCCTGATTAGAAGTACAGGATACTTTCTTCTCATTGTGAGATTTGAATGGCATTGCATTTAATATGAATTTAGAGTGGGAATATGAATGACGTGGACCAAATCTGTGAACTACATTATTTGCAAATAGCTCTAAAGATGAGTTGCCTGGATTTTCTTAATAGTTTCAAGTAAAGATGAAAATTGAGGAATATGTGATTGCAACAGAAACTAAACTGATTTCCTTTCTCGCAGCCCCAGTGCTGCAGTGATGAGCACTGTATGTAAATCCACAGCTAGATGAATGTGTGCTCTGGAGCCACAGGGAGACGCAGCTATCCATCCAGCCTGCGCTACTACTTGTGCTTTGAGGAGTCAGTGTCATCCTTCTGCCAGTTTGCTAACCTATTTTGATCACTCAGTGGAAGCTGTAATTGCAGGTGGGAACATTTTGAGTAATACTTCCCAATGCAGCATAACTGCTTTCTGCACTAAACCCAGTTATTAAAAAGCTCAGGCTAAGACTAGCGGCTGCAATGGACTTGACAGTGAACAACTCAACTTTGCCTGCTAGGAAAAAGAAAAATCCTGGCTTTCATGTGGTTACATTTGTGTGTGTGTGTGTGTGTGTGTTTGTTTGTTTGTTTTATTTTGTTTTGTTTTGTTTTTTTGAGATAGGGTTTCTCTGTATAGCTTTGGCTATCTTGGCTATCTTGGAACTCGCTGTGTAGGCTACACTGGCCTGGAACTCATTGAGATTCACCTGCCTCTGCCTCACAAGTGCTAGTGTTAAAGGGATGAGCCACCAATTGGCTGTTACATTCTTAATTGTTCTGAAAATTAAATAATTTGTTCTGAAAATTAAATAAATCCACTTGCATTTTGTTTGTTTGTTTATTTATTACAGTTGCACTGAATCAGCAATTTGTACTGATGAAAATGTGGTCAGGAGGCAACTCTTGCAGTAACTTTAGTGCTGGTGGAAACCAAATCCCTAGAACATGGGATTTTAGCACTCCTTCACATTGCTCTTATTGTAATGAAAAACTGGAAATGAGAAAACACTGTACTTAGAAGTAGTTATAGCAGTGAGGTATAGTAAATGCAACCCAAAACAGGAGTGATAATAATAGACTGCAATCCTAGCATGGCCTAAGAATTTTTCCTTCAGGCTTGTTGTTGTTCTGGAAGGAACGTGCATTGCACATTTACTGCATCTTAGTAGTCCCCTCTGCGTAAGCCTCCATGCTAGGGAATCTGAGCGGCTCCGAGGCTTTGTGTTTCAGATGGGCACTAGGTGTCAGGGTTTTCCCTCCTCTTCCCTTTAATAGAAAGATGGCTTTTTAAATTCCCCTGCCTGATGAGGCAAACCTACTTGTTTCCTTCATTCCTTTTTATTTTTTACCTTGTTGTTGGCATGGTAGGTT